GGGACAACATATGTGTTTATTGCTTTAACTGTATGTTTTGTATTTAACTGTGTTCTGAGAATAGCATAGCATTTAACCTACTTTGGTATTCTTTAATTAACCTTTGCTTTATTTGTGTAAGTTCTGTTAGTTTGGCCTGTTGAAATCCTAAATACTTGTGAACTTGTCCACCCTCTTCCATAGATTCAATAATGACTCCATTTTGAAGTGCAGAATCTTCTTTCTTCAGGATTCCTTTTTCAATGTGAAGTGTTTTGCATTTATCTAGGCCAAACTCCATTTGTATGTCCTTGGTGTACAAATGTGTGATTTATAGGAGTTGATGAAGTTGTTTTTGTGTGGACGCATAAAGTTTTATGTCATCCATGTACATGAGATGTGACAGCGTAAACTGTGTTGTTTTTTCATGTCTGATATTGTAGCCATATTGTGTGTTGTTTAACATTTTGGATAATGGGTTCAAGGCTAGGCAGAACCAGAGAAGACTCGAGGAATCTCCTTGAAAAATTCCTCGCCTAATGAATATTTGGTTTTTTTGTATGGAAGTGCTACTAAGCCTGAGATGTAGTGTTGTTCTCCAGTGATGCATAGTGTTTTGGAAGAATGCAATGAGTGATGGATGTATTTTGTACATGTGTAGAATATGTAGTAGCCAACTGTGTGGAACACTGTCAAATGCTTTTCTGTAGTCTATATATGCCATGTGTATGTTTCTGTGTTGTTTGTGTGCTTGCCGTAGAATGAGTGAATCTATGAGTAATTGTTCTTTGCATCCCCTGTGATTTCTACGTCAACCTTTTTGTTGTTCCGTAAGAATGTTATTCTTCAACATGTTTGTATATTTTGTTTGTGATACAGGATGTCAATAATTTGTAGAGTGCTGGGAGACATTTAATTGGTCTGTATTGTGTGGGGTCTTTGGTGTTGTTCTTTTTAGGTTTCATGTAGGTGATGCCCGAGTAAGAAATTTTGGCATGTCTTGTGGATTGATGATGATGATGTGTTAGAGGTTTAGCTAGTTCCTGGTGCAGTGATGTAAACTTTTGTACCAGAAATTGTGAATGTTGTCTACACCAGGTGTCTTCCAGTTGTGTGTTCTGTTAACAGTGTATTGGACATCGTGTATGTTTATTTCAGCACAGGGCATAGTTGGTATGTTGTGCAAGTTTTTGTTCTCCTCCTTGACCCAGCCTGCATCAGCATTGTGTGTGACAGCACTGAACAAAGAGAAGACCAATATGTTGTAAGTTCTTCTTCTGTTGGTGTGCCACTGTACTGTGTATCAGTGTTTGTTTTGTTACCAATTTGTCTATAAAAGAGTTTCCATTGTTTGCAAATAGTTTATTTTGTTGTTTTCGTAGTGAACCTGTTTTGTATTGTTTGAGTCTACGTACTTTGGCTGTGAGTTTCTGTTTTAGTGTATCAATGTATTCTGTAATGTGTGTTATGATGTTCATGTTTTGTGTGTGTTTAGATTTTCTTGAAAATGTTTTTGAGTTGTTTCTTTAATTTGGGTGTTATGTTGTTTTTAGTGTATTGTGTCAGCCTGCCTAATTGCTGTCTAATGTCATTTATTTGTGTTTCTATTCTTCTCTGCCAGGCAGGCTTATGATAGAATTGTGTTTTGTGTGTGTCTGTCTGTGAGTGTATTTTCAGTCCATGGTGTGTTACTACTGTGACTGCCCCAGCATAAACTAATGTATGAATGTCTGTAAGTGTAGAAATTGAATGAATGTAGTTTGGTAGTAAGTGAGTGTTTACATAATCTAGTGTTTTTCCTACTGCCTTTGACGTGTTGATTTTTGGTATTCGTGGTCTTTGTGTGGGATCTGTACCAGTATATTTAATGAGTGTTTCCTGAAATATAAGTGAGAGCGTATTAACTAATTCTATGTCTATGTTATCAGTGATGGATGGGGAAGTGCCTGCAGTATCATTAGTGGTACTTGTTGTGTGTGTGCTGTAATCAGTGCTTGTTGCTGGATTATCCTGACAGGTTACGTGATCTTCATTAATGTTAAATGTTTCTGTCTGTTGATGTATTTGATCAGCAACCTGTTGTTTGTGGGATAAGGTTGTTGTGTATAATTGTTCTTTTTTATCAACAACCATTTGTTCAGTGACAGTGAGGTAAAGATATTGTTGTGTGAATCTATGGTGTAGTTGTTGTCTGTACACTGTCATGTTTGTTTTGAGCCTTGTGATGGTGTAGTAAGTACAGATGATAAATTCGTTCATTTCTATTGTCTATTTCATCCATTGGTGTGGTTTTCCAGCTTTTATGGTCTGTGGGTGCATTGCCACAGAAACACAAGGGCTAAGTTGGTTATTCACTTCTGTTGAGGGTTGCTTTCACCACCAGTAATCAAGAGAGACTGTGGCCTATTTTTCAAATGTGAGCCTCTGTGAACGTGGACCTTGTTAACCTGGGCGATGTCTGAGCTAGTATCACACTTAGATTTGGTTATTACCATGATAAATATCTCCACAGAATGTGGATGTGTGGTCACCCTTAGCTTCACTTCTCCCCACAGACCTTACTGGCATGGGTGTACCAAGAGCTTGTGCTCCAGCCTCCATTGCCCTATGGATCAGCAAAATTACTGGGCTCTCTCACCACAATCAGGAGGTGACCATGGGAGAGTTATTATTATTATTATTATTATTATTATTGTGAATTATGTGAAATTAAAGAAAGTACAGGGTATCCATAAAGTCCATGTGCACAATTTAAAACATTTATAACTTTATTAGTATTTGTGATAGAAAAAATCTGTAAATAGTATTAGAAAGCTTAATGTACCTAGTTTTAAGTAAAATTATGTAGCTTACAAAATTCAATTGCATCAAATGTTGTTAGAAGAGGACTATCATGCATGGCTAATTTTCTGCCATCAGTTTAATGAAGAACTTGGTAATGATGATGCATTTGTAAGTAGTTTAATGATCTCTGATGAAGTAACATTTCACATTAGTGGTAAGGTCAACAGGCATAATTGCCAAATTTGGAGAACTGAAAACTCAAAATTTGGTAATTATGCCTGTTGAAAAAAACTGTATTACTAATGATGGTGGACATGTGGAAACTTAATAAAATATAATAAAAAAATATATAGATTTTCTTATTTTCAATACATTTTACATAATTTCTCTATCATAAATACTAATAAAGTTATAAATTTTTTAAATTGCACACAGACTGTATGAATACTGTACATGAAAAAATTATTAAATTCTCTTCAATGTAATATCCTTTGAAGATTGCAATTTCTGTATTAACTTAACTTTTCAATTTAATTTACTATCCAATTCATGTATTACATTAAATGTAATGTCTTTTATATTGTAAAATTATTTCCTCTTTTTGGTAATTTTATTTTAAACAAGAAATGGTTTGTATAGATAAACCAAGAAAAAAAACCTGGTTTAGTTCTGTAATACTATATTCTATAAAAACTTCTTAGTAAGACAATTATTATTGTATTATTTTATTAGTGAATGCCATGCAATAGGAAATGTCTTTTCTTCATTAGAATTCATGAAATGTTTTCCTTAATGTTTAATTGTTTCATTATTATCCAAAAAATTATTTTGAATCAGATGCAATCAATTAATAAAATTTTTGGTCTTTTTTGAAGTTTGAACTATTAATCATCTACAGTATTTGTAATCTTTGTGATGACATTTACATTTAATCCAAATTTTTGCAAATATATTTTTGCAAGAACATGCAAGTAACAAATTATATTATATTTATAAATTGATAAAAATCTATAGATTTTAGTTAAACTTTATCAAACTTATTATTAAATTAAATGGTTATTCTTTGCTATAACTTTTTACAAACAGCAACAATTTATATTGATTGAAAATAATGAATACTACTTGAACAAGTCTGTTCTTGCAGCAATTCAATTAGACAACTGTTAGAAACACAAGTGCTAGCACTTGTGTTTCTAACAGTTGTCTAATTGAATTGCAGTATTAGACTCCATCCTGAAATTTAATTGACAAATCTTATACATGATATACAGGTATCCCCAGCTTAATACAGTTTTGCTTAATGCAGGATTTGATTAACATATGAAATTAATTACAGCAATCCCTTCTTATACACAGCAGAAATTTTAATCAACATGGCTTTAACAGCTGTCTTTACTTAACATAGATATGTTTTTCTCAACAAATAAGGCATTGGTGAATTTGCTATTTTCATTTATTACAATAAAAATATTTGTTAGCAACCAAAATTTGTTCTAATAGGTGTGATTGTTTGGTTGAGTACCAAGGTATCTCTGTATTTGATTAATGCAATTTTGATATAATCAGTGGCATCGAGGGATTAGTTAACCGCATTAATCAAAGGACACCTGTATAAACTTAAATAACAGTGTCTTGTATTATTACTTAAAGAAAGAAAAGACAAAAAAATTATATTTATAAGTAGCATAATTGTTGGAACTGCAGACTATATTGTGATTAACTGAATCTCTATTCTAATCCTTATGATATTATGACTTCTAAATTCCAGAAACTATAATTTTATCAGAAATTTTTATTAAGTCACCAAGAAAGTGTGTAGCCTGAACATGAAGTAAATAAATGGTGGTCCCTTTTGTGCAGACTTTGTCTTCAGAAATTTATTCATAAATTATTTTAATTAAATATCTACACCAAACAGTAAATATTTCAAGAGTTTATTTATATGTTCAGTTCAAAAGCATCAACATTATGATCTGTCTTATCTGAATAACATGTACATTCCTCTTTAAATTTTTTTAGCTTTTTGATTATTAATAATCTAAATGACATCAGTCATTTTTATATTAAAAGTTTGAATAAATAAAAAAATTTTTAAATATTAGAAAAGAATTAAAACATGTCAGTGAAAATACTTTAATTCTATTTTAACATTGAATTATAATTTAATTATTGAGTTTTAAATAAATATTTTATACGATAATATAAAAATTTAACTTGAGAAAAATTAATTTTTTTACCTTTGTGTACAAGTGGTCTCTTCCAAAGGAGTTGTATATCCTGAACAAAACATTTCCCATCCAGCTTGTGCAATCATAGCCCCATTATCAATGCAATATCTAATTAAATAATAAATATACTTTTTAATAAAATTGTTGTTTCTAAACATCTATGCCAAATTATTATTTTTAAAGAAGTTTAAAAAATATAATGGAATTATTTGTTAATATATTTCATTTAATTTAATTTTTATATAATTACACTCATGTGTCAATATATACATTCATTTACAAATCTATAAAAATAAATGAAAGCATTTTAAAAGTAAAAGAAATCTGATCAATATTTTTGTTATTTAGAACATAACTAGGATCAATGAATATGAATGTAATCATATTTTTGATTTTAAGTAAAAATTTGGATTCATATCAAATATATTTAGAAATAACTTCAGTTTTTGATATAATACTGATCATAAATTGCTCATAAAATCGTCATATTAACTAATATACAGCAAACCATTTATATATATTTTGAATACTTAACTTCTTTACTTAAAATCTAATAATACATTTTTATAGAGATGTGCAATTATTTATGTTCATTATAATAAATATATTAAAACTATGTGAAAATTTCCAATATTATGAGAAATATTGCAGCTGTCTTGAAACATGTTGAGAGCGAGTGAAATCCAAAGACAAAGCAATGGCCGAACCCACGATTAACTACCAGAGTTCAGTGGTTTTATGCATTCGGCTACTGGAAGGTGCTTATTAGAATTAAAAGTACTGTTCAGAAATGAAAAAACCCAAGTCGGAAACTCGTTCAGAAATTAAAATATTAAATTCTTAAATACAGTAGACCCCCATAACATATAGTTTGGATTCCTATATGGCGGCAAAAAAACTGTGACACTATTCGTACAAACACGCTAAAAAAACTCCTATAATTCAGTAAAACATCATCGCTGACTCGTGTTGCGACAGGATTGGTCGAATCTAGACCAATAGCAGATATTGTACAAACCGTTGAGTTTAAACAAGCAGTGGACCTACTATTAAAACCATTTATTATTTAATGTCCATAAAAATTATATTTATATTGTGAGACTAATCGGGGGTAGGATGGTTACGAGGATATCCCTCTCCTACCACTTACTCGACTCAAGACCTTGAGGTCCGGTCTCGCTTGTCTAAAGGATGGGAAAAAAAAAGGTTTAGGAGAAAGGATCGTTAGATTCCTTCACCTGTCAGGATCTGACACCAATCTATCAATTTATCGCGGATAGATACGCGGATGGATGAGAAATTATCACGAGCAATCTCGTCGAGGACTTCGGGTTCAGTATGGAGTGGAAAATTGTCGGAAGAAACGCACACCAATCCAAGTTCGTTAACAAAATACCCGTTTATTCTGTACATTTATACATGGTTAATTATATAAGGAGTCAAAGGTACAGATCCCTTGCCTCGGGAATTTCAATCCGTATAGTTCATTTGTCGCGACCCTAACCGCGAGGTTGGAATATTCGAGAGAGAGCTTACATATCATCGCGAGTAGCATAAATACCTCGAGTTGTAGAGGTTGAAGGGTTCAGGACGATCTCGGAGTCCGAATCCTGGGCTCGTAACTATAGTTCAAGTCGTAATCAAAGTCTTTAGAAGACGGTGGCGACGAGAGGCAGGCGATTCACACTCACAGTTCAGGAAAACTTGTCCCCCCGTCTGTGGTTTCACAGTTTCTTTTATATGGGGGGATATCTTCTCGAGATCTCTCCCTGTACGTCATAGGTGATGATCTTCTTTGACCAATGGTGGGTGAAGTGACTAAATATGACACAACAGTTAACTCATCTTCTACAGGGAAGTATTGTGGTGGGAAAGGAGTTTTTATGAGCGATTTTTATGAGAAAATTTGTCGGTTGTTTTTTCCTTTTTGAGTTAACCCTAACTTTAAAAAAAATCGTTTTGGTTTGAAATGAATAGAAATTATTCAATTCTCAGCCTTTTTAAATCCTGGGCCTCACATCATTAATGATGTCTCCAAAGTTCAGCAAATTTTTTGCAAAAAAAATAATTTATCAGGAAGCACGCAAACGTCATTCGATGACAAGCTCCACGACAAAACAAGCTTAAGCAATGGTGTCGTCAAACGGTGCACACTCGGTAAGTAATCCTACAATTTTTTTGTTTATAGCATAGTTTATATGGATTATTCCCAAAAAATTATATGTATTTTGGAAATGTTGAGTTGAATTAGTCTAGAATCGATTAATTTTATGGAAGAAAACCTTTCAAACAGCCATAGTCCGTAAATTGCATACGTGCTGGGCTGTGATTGGCTTGTGTATTTAAGGACTCTTAGAAAATGGATTCATAAAAACCAGAACGTATCTACCGTGTTATAGGAGGATCGACTGTATTCTAATGTTAACTCTAAGAAACTGTACCATTTACAGCTGAATATCAAACAGTAATCTGCCAATCAATCAAATTTCACAAAAAAACAGGCCAAATATTTAATCATCATACCACTGGTCTGATAGAAAGAAGAAACTGTTGAAGAAGGAGGTTGAAATAATTTGATTAAAAGTAGTCCTTCTCTCAAAAGAAAGGATTGTCAATGACTGCTAATTAATACCGGTCTGCTATTAATATTTAAAAAGTGATCCATGTTGTATATGTTGTGATGGCCCCATATGTGATCGAAGTTGCTAATCTTAATGTCCAAAAGACTTGATATAAGACTTGCTTAGATTTTTTAAAAATCTTGTAAAAATGCAAGAATAATTCTTTTTATGTGATAATAGTGTTAAAATTTTGGCAACAGATTGTATAAACTATGTAGGAAGTATATTCTTGTAAATATTGCATTTATAGAAAAATTATTGGACTGCAATTTGAAAAAATTGTAGATACTAAATTCTGACAATCATTCTACCCTGTCTATCTGTTGTTCCTTAAACTCTAGAAAAGAGTTGGATAGATCAAAGCTGAGACCAGATTTGGAAAGCTTAGGATAGAAGAACCAGATTAACTATATACAATCTTCCAGTTTGGAACAGAAATAATATTACTTCAATTCAAAATTTCTCCCCCAAACAGAGTAGATAGATGACCGACACAACTCTATTGATAACAGGAAAAGTATAATGTACAGGATCAAGATCAAAACTACAAGAATTGAGAACATTGTGATGTTTCCATATATGTATATGTGAAAGTATATGTAGAAGTATATGTGAAAGAATTGAGAACATTGTGATGTATACATCACAATGTTCTCAATTCTTCACATATACTTCTACATATACAATGTTCAATCACAATTCTTTCACATATACTTCTTTGATCACATATGGGGCCATCACAACCTATACAACATGGATCACTTTTTAAATATTAATAGCAGACCGGAAATAAATAAAGTTGCAGCCAGACATTATGACGATGTCACAATAAATAATCACTCATTAGAATTACAGTAGAGCATCGATTATCTGACTCAATTGGGGACTGAGGTTGGTCGGATAATTGAAAAGTCGGATAACAGAAAAGTATGAAAAAATCCATTATTAGTGTAGTATATTATTATATCCCATGTAATTAGTATATTGCTATTAACCTACTTCGCGTTGAATTTTCCTCCATGTTAAGCCTACCAAATTTTTTTTTTAAAATAATAATCATCGCTATTGTATCGTTAAAAATTAGAAAATTAAGCCTTGTTTAAATACTGGCTCCCTTTCATAGTCAATCCAGTGTTGCCAGCTAAAACACACAAAAATAATATTAAAGTAGCCAAGACATAGCCAAATATTGTAGCGCCACATCACTAGCGGACATTTGAATTTGCCGACTAGAACGCGGTTGGTTAACCGAGGTGACAGTTAATCAGGGGTTGGATAATTGATGCTCTACTGTAGTTTGGTTTATTTGGTTAACAGCAACACAACAAGTAAGTGATCTGCCAAGGGAGTGCATCCCGAAAAGACTTATGTAAAGCTGGCCACAATTTAAGTGTTACTAACATGAAGAAAATCCAGAAAACTTCATCTGGCCATCCATTGGCCATGCACGAACCCACAACCGACTATCAATGTTCAGTGGTTTTATCCACTCGGTTACTGGAAGATACTTATTGGGCTGTAATTTGAAAAAATTGTAGACCTGTAAATTTCCACTGTCATCTGTCTATCTCTGTTCTTCCTTAATCTCGAGAACAGTGTTAAATAGATGAAAGTCGGGACTAGAAATGGAAATCGTAAGAAAAAAAGGACTAGATTAACTATATATGAACTTCCAATTTTTACCACAAATAACATTATTTCAATTCAAAAATTTTCCTTTGAAAGAGTTAGATACATAATCAGCACAACTATTACTTTCCGGACACACCTCGTACAACCCTGATATGTATATATGTTATATATACATATGATATGTATATGTATATGTATGTGTGTGTATATATATACATACATACATACATATAATTGAGGATGTTTGTTTGTTTGCTATACACTTCTAGGCCATTTGACCAATTGCTATGAAACTTGGCAGTTAAGTTTAAATACTTCTAACTTAGATCATGAAACTTGTATGCTTCCATCTATTTACAAGTCGACAGTCAACTTTCTCCTGTTTTAACAACAGGTTGTTATCGTTTAGCACTCAATTGTTGATAGTATGGGTGATATTCAATTCATTTGTTGTGTGATGTTTTCTTAATGATTGTGATGAAGAAATAGGCTTAATAATTTTCTTAAATTTATGCAAAATCAAGTGCTCAATCTCACATTCTTTAATATAAAAAAATATACTATAGTTTAAACATTTTTTTTTCTTTACTTAAAATATGTGATCATCATAACTTCCTTCCATTACATTTTTTATTTGATTTTGTATATAAATTAAGTTACTACCTTTCATCTGTAGCATATAATTTTGCTTGTCTTTCATATGCCATGATTCTCATCATTTCTTGTAAACGTTCATTGCCTAAAATAATTAAATGCAATAAATTAACATTATTATAATGAAAAACAATTACAAACACTTTTAATGTTATAAAATATTCAAATGAAAATTTAAAATCTGTAACAAACTATACAAAAATCCTTTTTTGGATTTATCAGAAAAAACAGATCTAGTATTTTCCAATCTAAAGCTTAGCTCTACAATATCAATATATGTGTATGTAATATACATATTTATTTTCTATTATATATTTGCTTTTATTTAAATATTAAATGAATATATAACTATGTAATAAATATAATAAAACAAATAAGACAAAATATCAATAAAACAATTTCTTTTCGTTTTCCTATTTCAAGAAAAATATTAGGTTAGCATTATTTTGTTAATGAGATATCAATAATAAAAAAATAAAAAAGATCAAATAACAAATTCAAAATTATTTGAACATTGCAAAATGCAGATTAGTTAGAAGAATAATGAAAAATAAAAATTGAATTTTGAATTTTTAAATATTTAATCATATCTTTGTCATGTTAGCATAATTCAATACAACAGACATCAAAAATTCATACTGAAAACAAGATATATAAATTTATTACAACAAAGCAAAATATGGTTGAAAAATGTTCTTTCAGATGAAGAATATTAAAAAAAATTAAATAAAACCTTTAAATTTTAATGATGCAAATATTATAAAATACAGGAAACATTAATTATATAATCAAACAAATTTCATAACTTTTTTTTATTCTTAATTAATCACTTAAAATCTAGATTTTTAAATATTATATTTTATTAAACTTATATCTCACAATATTCAAATATTGGAATAGAATGATTTTTTTGTGACAGTGATATGAATATATATTTCAGAACAAGAGAAATTCCTATGTACTTTAAATTATCACATAATTTTAATTATGTATCAATATATCAATTAATAAATATATTTTAAATTCAAAAACTAATAAAATTCTATTTAAAGATGGAAAATTATTTTATTTGAGTTAGTTTTCTTTAAATAATCATATATAATTTAGATAAAAATTAAAAATTGAATAAAAACTGTAAAATATATTACTGATGGGTTAATTTTAATGAAAAACTCATCATGTGTAATTTTTAATACGTATACAGTAGTACTTCAGGATACAAACACTTCAACATATGAAATTTTCAGGATATGACATGAAATTTGAACATATTTTTGCTCCATGATATGAACAAAAACTTACCATACCTTATTACATTAGTTTGCAGCGCCACCACCATGATCACGTGTTCCTTCTGTTCATCAGTCCATGTGTTTGCTTCATTTGTGGAAGGCTCTTGCTCGATAAAGGAAATCTTGAGGTATTATCAGAAAGTGACTGATTTTATTGAAAAGAAACACCCCGAAAAGGTTCACACTGGCCGTATTGCTGCTCAGTTTAATGAAATTTGCCTAAGTCATTTTAGAAATATTTTAAAAAGTAGGAAAAGCCAAACCTCTTTGGATAGATATTTTACCAAGTAACCTCTATCCAGTGAAAGTGCTGATAGAAATGAAGGAAAGAAACCAAAAAGCAGTGAATAAAAAATTAAAAAAATATATAAAACAGAAAAGATAAAAATAACTTAACACTAATTTATTTTTAAGTTATTGTTACATTATGTTATGTAAGTTAAGTTTAAGTATCATTTCCCTTCTCCCTCTCCTCTGCCACCAGTTTCAACATCCACCGTCGTCTATCCTCAAAAGTAAAATGCAAATAAAACTACATTTTTTTTTAATCAATTATTATTCTATTATGGTTATTTATACATTTACAACTACAAAATGCATTTTTCAGTGTTTTCCTTACTAAAGTTATTTTTTCAATGTACTACTTAGCTTTAATTTGAGTGTTTTTTTCATGTTGGAATGGATTATTTGGTTTTACATGTAATCATATGGGGAAAAATGATTCACCTTATAGCATTTTCATGATACGATCTCAGTTTAGGAATGGATTAATTTCGTATCCTGAGGTACTACTGTATATAAAAAATTAAGAATTTATAGATTTATTTATCATTAATTTAAGAACACATTGATTCAGATTTAATACATAGTACAGAATAAAAAAACGTTTGAAATATTTTAAATAAATATGAAAAGTTAATAAAAAAAAAAGGAAATTATAAAAGTAAAGTATTTTAAAACTAGGAATAATTTCCTTGAGAAAAAAGAGAGTATATCAAATAATAGTAACAAAATCAGAATTATATAATGCCTGTGATATTCATAAATTTTAACTAAAAATTGAAATTCAAATGCATCACCCTCCATTAAAATTGTCCCATCTATAAAGGCTGTTATATGTACTGTACATGATAAAAATTACTCAGGATCAGATTTATCCCAATTAACTTTCATCATGTAAATTTAGTATTAGGAGCAATCATTTTTGTGTGTATCAACCAGACAGCATGTAACATGTTTCTATCATGCAAAAAATTCTTCTCCCCAAACTCAGTTCAATTTTGTAAAGACTTTTTTGACTTATCTTGTACTTCTGAAACAAAGTCTTAAATATCATAACAACATTATTTATTCAATCTGTATCATTACTTTCAATTCTGATAGTTAGCACTGATCCTATCAAATTTTAAAGCCCTCACTAATTCCTACATCAGACAGTTATAAATCTCACTACAGGCCACACTTTTCTTTTGCAGTAATTCCATATGAAAATCACTTATGTAAATAGTGCCACCTATGCTATCATCCACATTTTCAGCTATTTACACTATTTCAGGTGGGGCAATTTCAATGACGGATACTGTATCATTAAAAATTAAATATATTTTCATTTTACACAATAAAAAAAAATACAAATAATTTTTTTAAAATAATTATAAATTAAAAAATATATATAAATAACAAATCTTCATAAAAAGAGATTAATCCAACATCCTCAGTTATCATTGTTATTGTTAATAGTAGTAGTAATTATTCAATTGTCTTCTAACCAATAAATGCTATAACAAACTAATAATTATTACTTACATCCTACACCTCCAACAATTAAAACTTCTTCAGATGCACAATGAGCCATAGCCCGCTCTAGAAAATTTTATTGAATAATTATAAAATTCTCTTTGAAAACAAAATAAAATGTATATTATACAGTAGACTCCCCTATAACACAGTAGACATGTTCCGTGTTTTATGAAATTCATGTTGTACGAGTCCTTAAATACATGAGCCAATCACAGACCAGCACATATGCAGTTTACGGACTACGGCTGTTTGAAAGGTTTTCTTCCATAAAATTAACCAATTCTAGACTAATTTGACTCAACATTTCCAAAACACGTATAATTTTTTGGGAATAATCCATATAAACTATGCTATAAACAAAAAATTGTAGGATTACTTACCGAGTGTGCACCATTTGACGATGCCATTGCTTAAGCTTGTTTTTGTCATGGAGCGGCGCATCGAATGGCGGGCGTGTGTTTCCTGATAAATTATTTTTCTGCAAAAAATTTGCTAAACTTTGGAGACATCATTAATATAAATATAATTTTTATGGCCATTAAATAATAAGTGGTTTTTAGTATGTCCGCTGCTCGTTTAAACTCAACAGTTTGTGCAATATCCGCTATTGGTCTAGATTCGACCAATCCTGTTGCGACATGAGTTGGTGATGACGTTTTACCGTATCATATGAGTCTCTTTTAGCATGTTTATATGAATATGATCATAATTTTTTCACTGTTATATATGAATCCATATTATATGAACCCGTTTTATAGGGGGTCTACTGTAATTTAGTTTCTATTAAATAAAATTAAGAAAGAAAAGGAAAAATTTACTTTTAAATTATAAATTTGAATGAATCAGTTCAAAATTTTTAAAAGTATTTTAATCTTATGCAATCATTAAAAGTATTTCATCTTATGCAAAAGTTTAACAATATCTTAAAATATGCAAATGACCAGTCAAGTTTACTAGATTAGTTAGAGAAATAAGTTATATCATAGAAGTTAAAATATTTCATATTAATTCAATAAATTATATATATTAAAGACTATATAAAATTAAAAAATTTAAAGCCTACCAGTGATTTCCACCAACATTGCAAACACTGTTTCTTGAAGAGAAAAACACAGATCTTCTACTGTATATTCACCACTTTTTATCAAATTATGAGCTTTCTCCTAAAAGTAAACCTACTTAAATATTTCAAAATTTTTACAGTTAAGATTCAAATAAAACCATTTTTTAATTAAACTGTATTGATATTATTTTAATTTATTAATGAAACAATCCTAAATTTCATTTTAGCAGCAAAAACTCATTACAAAAAGAAAACTATTTAATTTAATATCAAGTTTTTACATTGTAAATATTAATTTAAATATTAACTAAGGTAGCAATAAAATCATTGAAGACTAGCAATAATTAAAATTTCTTGTAAATGAATTACAGTTGCTGACAGACATTTTTAAAAATTGTTTATATCCTATTAAAAATTTAAATTAGCAGAGAGATTTTCAATAAATCTTTGTGTAATTTGATTTATATGATGTATTCATCCTTATTTTAATTAAATATTTGATTAATACTATAATTATAAACTATAATTTTTAAAACTTTTATTTGAATATTACTTAATTTACTGAAGAGAATAAATGAATAATCAAAAGGTTCAAAATCAAAAAGTCTCTCCATTCAAATTTTTTATTTCTTAAATTTATTTATTTATCAAGATAGTAATTGTTATAAAATTTAAGCTGAAAAACAAGTACTATAAACAAAAAAAAAAAAAACAAACAAAATATTCAAATAACTCAGGATTTAAGCTGTCACTAGTTTATCGCTAAAATGCTACAGGAATTTAGATTTAGCAACAACTTCCTTGGCACACTTCTCTAAAAAAAACTAACATTTTTTAAGTGGTTAAAGCAGGGATAGCCAACAGTTTTTGCCCCCGGGCCAAATTGGAAAGAAAACTTTTTTCATAGGCTGAACCTGAGGCTGCCCTAGGAAGATTTTGAGGTGGTGCGAGATCTCAATGTGGTATCTCCCCGTAGAGACTAAATTGTACATAGAGATTACAGATACATTTTTCACATTATCATGCTTTATCAACATTCTATGCTGTACTGTACTTAAGAGATTTGTAATGGAGGGTTAACTCTAAATGCACAGTGAGTTGTTGACTTTTTTTTTCTTTTTTTTTTAGGTGTCAGAATTTTTCATCGAGCTATTTGGACTTCAGTAGCTAATATTGAAAGATTCATCACAGGCTGCATAAATTCATTAGACGAGCCATATGTTGGCCATGCTTGGGTTAAAGCATCTTAAGATTTAAATATTAGATTTTAAGATGTTTTAACTAGTGATGGGATGATACCAAGATTTCTCATGATTCTAATTCTTTTTAATACTTTCTAAAATTTATTTTAGTTTTCATTAATTAATTAATAATCATGAAGCTTAAGAATGGAAAGTGATTGGGAAATTGAGAATCAATCTTCAGAAAGAAACCCAAATATTCTCCATTTATATGTAGATATGCATGTTTTTATTGTGTAGTAGAAAATAAATTTATAATTTTACTGCAGATAAAGTAAATATTGCAACCCCCAGAAAAATTACAGCTAATTTCCTTTTACTAAAAAAAAAAAAAAACTACCCCATCATGTCATCTAAAGTCACCATGTTTGGAAACTGTTTTGTTGGCCAACGGGATGACCAGGGGAAGGGGAAGGCAATGAGAAATTGCATTTCTTTTTTAATGCGCCTCAAAATCGGCATGCCTTGTAAATGCTGTAATTCCATCCTATTTAACACTAAATGAGGTTCGGCAAATGATGCAACAAGCCAAATGAATATCATCATCATAACCACGAGTTACCCAAGTTTTGAATTCATTCACTAAAACCAATTTCCCTAAATGTACAATTATATGTTCTTATTCAAGGAAAAGAAGAATCAAACAAATACCTAGACTGATTCATCTTAAATAAATTTTTAAAACTCAAAATGGCAATAAATTTAGTGCAAACAATTATTTTTACTTAGAATTGTGCAAAAAACATTTGAAAATTTAATGTATTACAGCATAAGACAATAAAGTGGATGTGAAAAAGTCCAGTGTCTAGTGTCAACACTTCATGGTGTCTCAAAAAGTATAACATAAAGGAGGGCACAGTTTCAACACAAAGAATAAATTTTAACTAATATCAATTCAGTTAAAATATAATTTTGTTTATATTTTAAACTGTTTTGCTAAAAACTGAAATATTTTTGTCAAACGCTGACCTCAATTTAAAATTGCCAGCCAAACTGACCCAATACCGGCTGAGTGGAAACCCTAACATTATCTTATCTCTCCTAAAATGGGAGTTAGTACTAGTGATTGCAAATTTACCGGGTATTACATTACCGGTAGTTCAGTAATTATATTCGGAATTACCAGTTTATCGGTAATTTACTGATAAATTCATATTGACAAATGATTTAAAATGAAACTGAATTACTGACAGAATTATTGAACAACCATTTATTTTCAAGTTTTCTATCAGTTTAGACCAGGGCTTCTTAAACTATGGGTCGCGACCCCATTTGGGGTCGCTTAGCAAAATCTTGGGGTCGCGAGATTTTAATGCAAAATATTGAAAATAATTTGTGAGACTGAAAATGGCATGCTTTGTGTCTTAGGTTTCTTGAGTTGCGCTTTGTGTCACTTCTGGTGCAGCGAGACGATTCAGCAACACTGATTGTAGTATGAAGTAGTTTAGTGTTGTCGCTTTTCAGTGTATTCAGTTGTCTCTGTTCCATTGTAACACAAGAGTGAACTGTGGTAGTACACCATTATTGTTTTTGTAAATTTGTATATATCTTTATTTTATATATATATATATATATATATTTGGAGGGGGTCGCGAAAAAAATCACAATCATAAATGGGGTCGTGAATAAAAAAAGTTGAAGCCCTGGTTTAGACAAACAACATTCTTGTAATAGCAATTATTATGACATAACAGACATTGAAATAATGCTGATTATTAATTATGTTTTTCTTTACTTTGAAAGGAGGTTAAAAAGCATAATACATTTAGACTCTTGTTGTCTAATCTAGACTTACTTTTCGTACAAATGGCAGCTGCATTAGAAAAAGCTCTCTCAGAATCAATACTAGTTGGACGTACTGTTATTAGAGCATTGAAATCCTTCTTAAGATACGTTCCTTGTAATTTTTGCTCTAAGAAATAATTCATTTCTTTCTTAACTATATCTTTCACACTTTTAAATTTACTTATATTACTGTTATCAGTGTCTATGTTCGTTTTATGTTTAATGAATAAGTACAATTTCTCTTTCATTGTTAAATTTGACTTTTCTATTGTGCACTTTGTTCTCATCTCAACATGAAAAGTTGATGGTGTGGTAAGCAACGAACAACTCTCATCAGAATCTGAGTTGGAACTAATTTTAGTGACATCCACAGGTCATGATTCATTTTCTGATAAGTGCTTGATTATTTCTATAATCCCATTCAAAATTATATTTTTGTTAACATTATTGGATATTTCATGTGACTTATATTTGTTCAATTTTTCTGGGTTATTTTCCTGTATTAGACTCCAAAAACAATACACGTTTTTGAAGTGTAATACAGGGAATCAAGTAATAAACAGACTAGAAAATTCCTTTTGGTAACCTTAAATTACAAATGGAATGACCAATCATCATCTGCACTATTTTCTCACTATGGTATCAGGTGAGACAAAAGGGAAATTTGCTTCCTACGGGTATTTCCCATGAAAATTTTAGGAAAATAAATATCAGGTTAATTAAGAGGTTTTTTAACCAAAATACCAGTAAAAAAATTAATTACCGGTAAATTTACTGGGGAATAATTTTCCTAATTAACCAGTTACTAGTAATGCAATCACTAGTTAGTACCGACCAAGTGCAATCTCTCATCACTCGGACTACACAAGTCCACCTTGACAGATGTCACCAGTATGGGTCATCATGTATTCTCTGCTTTGTAGACACAAAAAGTTTCCAATAAACAAATACTTAATTGTTAATATTGTAATTTAAAAAAAAAAAACAATTTCTGATGGAAGGGAATTTGTTTAAAAGATTTGTAGCTGTTTGATGTAAGGATATGTCATTGGCTAAAGTTTGTAAAATGATAGTTATAAATGACCTTCTCTCAGATCACCCTCATATATCAACAGTTATTGAATTTGTTCTTTCACACCCAGTGCACTGTTGAGTGTAATGTTTCAGTGAGATGACATTAACAAAAACTCCAATTGGAAACTGTCTTGATGTAAAAAATGTCAGCAATTTGTTAAACATTTCCATAAAGGACCCCCAAGATGGAGATTTGATTTTCATTTGGCATTTGTTGCCTGGTGTGAATCAAAACCAAGAAGAATTGTTTAATAATGTATATTTGTGGGTTGTAACAATAGATTTATGGTTATATTGGTAGTGCAGTACACTGTAATAATGTACACTAAGAGAATAAACAAATGTTTAAACAATAATGTATTGTGTAATGTTCTGGACATCCTCACAGATGAGAAATGTTAGCTACAGTTTCTAAAATTTTGCTACAACTTTTTTAGTAAAATTAGCTATAATGTCATAGAAAATTTTTTCCCAGCTTAAACCCTGTACCTGAAATTTTTAATGTAGTGTGGGAAAATATTTTTCAAAGCCAAGTAAACAGCATTTATCAACAATAATCTTATTTATAATCACTCTTAATTGTAATTTCATATTACCCACTAATATTTTATTATTTAAATTACTTACACTCTTTTTTACTATTTTATAGAAACAATATAAATTTTAATATATAGCAGTTTTTTGCTAATCTGGCCATTTGTTACACAGAACTTTGCTGGAATTAGCAAGTGTGCTAGATTACCAAGTAAGTATAGGCCTAAAGCCCACCTAAAGGAAAGCAATGATGTGAACTGTAGATCTTCACTACCAATTAATTCTATCTGAAGGCAGGCAAGCAAATAATATGGCACATTAAAATGCAATACTCTACATAGAAATGAAAGCCTATGCACTTTCATTTCATTTATAGTATTGCCTTTTTGGTAGTTTTGTCTAAACTTCAATATATATTTGAGATATTTATGAGACATTAAAGTTCTGCATAGCTCTTACCTGTTTTTCAATCAAAATTTCTTTTAATTCAAGTAATTAAAAAAAATCTATAAAATAAAATTTGCTGATAAACAACAACATTAAAATAATTCTTGATGGACTCTTTTTGCTATTGTATTTTATGTTTAAATTTTCATTATGGTTAATAATCATCTATTATTGATATATTGCAAATTATACTATATATTGTCAATTCAAAATATTAAGTATTTTCATGTTAAAACTTTTAATTACATATGCACTGTATTAATTAAAAATTAATATGATGTAAATATATTCACTAAGATATGTTTGTAGTATGAAGTAGTTTAGTGTTGTCGCTTTTCAGTGTATTCAGTTGTCTCTTTTCCATTGTAACACAAGAGTGAACTGTGGTAGTACACCATTATTGTTTTTGCAAATTTGTATATATCTTTATTTTATATATATATATATATATATATTTGGAGGGGGTCGCGAAAAAAATCACAATCATAAATGGGGTCGTGAATAAAAAAAGTTTAAGCAGCNCAACTATCAAAAACATGATGCTTAACCTTGATAATAAATTTTTAAAATTAGAAAATTAATGATATTAAAAATATCAGCAGCTTTCTAGATTTTTATTTACATTTGTTCACAGATATCATTTATGTTTAAAACAGTATTAAAATTTAGAATTCAAAATGACACATTTGATAGACATTTGATAGTAAAAAAATATTCATCAAAAATTATCTGAATGCTATTAATTTTATTTATGAGAAAATTATATAGATACAAAACAAAACTAAACAACTATATATATATATCTACAATACTTAACTATATAATTATTTTATAAATAACATATATATAAAAGCAATTTTAATTACTTCAATGAAAGATAATAATCCAGAAAATGATACATCCATTCCCTTCACCACATAAGGAAGCATGAGGAACTTCTTACCTCTGTAAAATAATTATCAATATTAAAATTACTCTAAAATATGAAGATATATTATGAAAAGATATTTAAACTTATAAGTTATAGCAGACTACAAACTATCATTAATTAAAATTAGTCAGCAAGTATCAAAATTACCAATGTTTTTCTCTTTTGCATTTCCTATGTAAAAAAACCATATTAATCTTCTTGTAGTTAAATTAAATATATAAAAAATCAAGAAAATTCAACTAATTTGAAAAATAATTCATCAAAGTAAGCAGACAATAGTTAAAATAAATTTCATTTCTAATAGATTATATAATATTAAAACAAAATTTCTGTTTCAATATTTATTTGATCTGATTTAAGAGATCAATTCACTGTTTCATCTCTACAGAAAATAAAATCATAGTTGATCCAAATATGCCAAAATAAAAAGGACAGAGTGATTACAACATAAGTAAGAAATAAACTTCAATAATAAATCAAGAGATAGCTGAGAACATTATTTTATAGTATTGTTTGGAACATCAAATGCAATTAATACTATGATAAAAAGCAGATATATTTTTTGTTTAATTGATTTAATTAAAGATAACAAAGATTTTTATCACTGTCACAACACACCACAATCTGAAATAACTTACTCTGAAAATTTTTAAGATTTTTCTATAATTTTACATCTTACATACCATGTATTTGTTAAAATTAACATGATCATTTCATTCTCTTTACACAATAATTGTTTGTAATATCTATGACACAATATATTTTAAAATGATTTTTATTGATTAAATTTAGAGAAAACTATACTGCAGAACCCAGAACTTACACAATTTCTCAAAGTTATATATTTATTACATAAAATGATGAATAACTAAAATCATAATTTAAACTAAACTGATTCAAAGCATTTATTATAAATTTACTGCATTTTAATTTTATTTGGCTGGAACAGATTTATTTTGTACAATTATTGTTAATGAAATAAAGAATAAACACAAAAATTTTTGTGTAAATAAAAACTGAAGTTACAAAATGAAGCTCAGTAATTTGTGTGAAAACATTTTCTTAAGTTATTTATTTAATTGTTTAACTCATAAAGTAGTATTAACATAGTTAATTTTTTAAAATCTTCTATGATTAAAAAAGATTTGAAAACTGACTTTTTATTATTATTTATAAATTTAAAATAGAAAATTCTCTACTATCAATATAGCTACCAATTTGACTATTAACGAGGAACATCACAATTAAAAAATGCGACCGGATTAGAACTTCTTTATTCTTTTATTCTTTAATAGCCAAATTGGTAGCTATATTGATAGAAGAGAAAAATATAATAATCAAAGGACCTGAAGTTTTTTATAATAAGTAGAAAATTCTCTCTCTCTTATAGCTGAGTAATACAGTAGAACCTCGATTATCTGGACTAATTGGGGATGAACGTAATCCGAATAAGGAAAAATCAGGATAATCAAAAAAATAATAATTGACAGTGAAAGACATGTACTGTACATACAGTATGAATAATTTTTATTTGTCTAGATTTACATATATGTAGCTTCAATATTAAATTATTTTTTATTAAGAAATTCAATTATTGTTTAACTTCATAATTTTTTCACTTTGTTTTTTTATATCTGAGATCATTGACGTTCCAACACCATATTTATTAGATAATGAACGTCCAGACTTACCGCGTTTCAAAGCATTGCCTATTGTTTAAAGGCATCTGGTGGCGCAAGAAGACGGATTTTATAAAATACAGTAAAAAGCAGTTGAAACTGTCAAATTTTTATTCATAAAAATNATTATTGTTTAACTTCATAATTTTTTCACTTTGTTTTTTTATATCTGAGATCATTGACGTTCCAACACCATATTTATTAGATAATGAACTCTCCACGTTTTAAAGCATTTGTGAGATCAGCCGGGGGCACCTGCAAAAGGGTACCACTTACTCGGCCTATTCAGTGAGAATAGTTCCCTAAAGTTTCAGATCTCTAGATCTGATCTTAAAAACTTTCATAGGAGAGCGATAATCGCTAGTAGATCTGAACTGTGAAGTCCAGATGCTCGTCAGAACTGACACCAGTTTGTCAATTTAATTCCGCGGACAAACACGCGTATGAGATCTGATTCAGACACAAATTAAGAGTCATTTCATTTGATAAACAAACAACAATAAATTTAATAAGACATAAGAAAATAAAAACTAATACAAAATATTAAATGAAAGAATGATATAACTACTACAATTAAGATACACGTCGAGAGATATATGGACTTATACTATACCCAATGCGCGATCGAGAGAGAGCTCACAAAATCGTTATAATACATACAACCTGTTTTAGTTGTCGTTCGTCTTCTTCTCTGTAAGCAAGGGACACTTGGGAGATAAAGTTCATTTACTTCTTTCCATGGGAGGTCGATATGTGCACAAAATCAAAGTATAACTTCTAAGTGCTAACTCTGGAATTATTCTATGTGACTCGTCCAGGGGCGTTGGTCATCAGGAGGAAAATGTGTGGAGTCCGGACACTTCCAGATCTGTCGATGAACTCCTCGAATTCTGACAAATTTCCCCTATATCTCAGGATTTACGACCAATCATCTGCCAGAAACTCTTTCATGTGAACGGATGAAAGGGGGATCAAAGAGGGGTAGATAGTTCCCATCTGAGCGAGATTTTTAGCGGATAAGGGAAAAACAGAGGATGTACGAACTTCCCTCAAAGGAAGTAACATCTGTTATCTGCCTTTTCCCACGTTAAATCATTATTTTTCTCAAAAAATGAAATAATATTTTACGACAATTTCTAACGTTATTTATAAAATTCTTGTTTTAGACCCACGGGCCTTTCAGATCTCACACATTGATTATATCCAATTTGTCTTTAATGATAATACAACATGTTTTCTTTTTGATGACATATCGGTAATATTAAAAATAAATACTGTATTTAAATTGTGATCAAATTTTCAAGAAACAAATGTTTGTATTGAATTTGGACTACTACTAATCAGTACTAACAGACTGCCTATTGTTTAAAGGCCCTCTGGTGGCACAAGAAAACAGATTTTATAAAATAAAAAGCAGTTGAAACTGTCAAATTTTTATTCATAAAATGCAAACTATTTATCACTTTATGATGAGTAAAATTTCTTCATCGCATTCACGGCTTTTAAGTAATGCATAAACCGTCTAGGCACGCGGCCATGGGCAGTGGCCCACATCGTCCATGACCTTACACCGCCTTTTGTCATAGAAATTATATAATTTCAATATAAATTATTTATAAATATGTATGTCAAGTTATATTTTTATTATGATGCAAAATGTATTAAAAAGTTTACGACAACTGTGCCAGGTGAGACGTTGTTGGAACAAAACAAGTTATGCATTCCATCAAGTACATAAAAAGTGTCACAATTCGCCAAGTGCAAATCAGCAAATTTGTAAAATTTTTGTTTATTTTGAACAAGCCAGATAATCAAGGTTCTACTGTACTTAATAAAATAATTGACAACAATAATGCATTCCACATGCAAATAAAAAAATATTATTACTTTAAATCCACAAAGTATAGGTTTATTAAAATATTTAAAGATGTGTTGATAATTTAAGAAAATAAAATACAGCTAATTAAGGTACCATGGTATCAAAATTATACCATGTCTCACTGGAATTTCTGAATATATTGATAGTTTTTCATGAAAACTATTACTTTCCTTAAATTTATAATTCTCTATTATTCTTATGTCAATTTTTAATGTAATATAACAATTAAAATAATTAGTAAATTTAATACTCAATGTTAATTTACATTATACTTACTTCTTTGCTAATTGTTCAATATTATATCCTGGACTTGGATCATTAGAAAGCTAAAGACAGAATAAGAACAAATATTGTTTATATCACATAGTAATTTATTAACTAGAGAAAAAGAAAACTTTTTTAAATTTGTTTATTTAAATTTAAATTTAACAAAGTTTAAAATTACATTTTTCTATAATAGGAAAATTTAAAATTTCTGTATAATTGTTTTCTAATACATAAGAAATTAAAATATATAGAAGACAAATGGAACTGAATACACCCCCGATTTTTCATTGGTGGATAAAGGATCTCTGTCGTTGGACAGCAACCTCCTAAGATTCGGCCGCGGAGAGATCGGCAGAAACAAATCATGTCGCCTAAAAATACGACAGATACGGAGGGTGACACGGCCAGAAAATGGTATCGCTGGCAGGACTATTGTGGACTCCCTCGGACGGTGTAGTGTGGTGGCGGGAAAGAGTGATGTTTTTACCTTATTTAAAATGTAATTAAATTTGGCTTTGCTGTAGCCCGCCTCATTTATCGCTTGGCAGATAATATTAAGTTCGGTGTCAATAGCCGCCTGGCTGGACGATAGGAGGAAGGCCCTTCTTATCAAAGGTGAAATTGCCGCATTGACGTAATGTTGCGGCTGGTATGCCGTGGCCGGGATTAGAGGAGGTACACCACTGAATTTGTGGAATACGGAGTATGTGGTGCTATTTCGGGATTTATTGATTTTTAGATCCAAGAAGGCAATTTCATTTTCCTTTTCCTTTTCCCAGGTGAAAGTAATAGTGGGATAAGTGGTCGCTAGACGGTCTTTGAAGGCAAGGAAATTTTCATGGGTGTCCTGCCAAGCCACAAGAATGTCGTCAACATATCTAAGATATAAAAGCGGATATTTTAACGTAATGGGAAATTTAAACATTTTGAACTCTATGTTTCTCATGATCAACTCCGCCAAAACCGCTGAAAGTGGTGAACCCATCGGGACTCCCTGTTGTTGTAGATATATTTGGCCCTTGAATTGAAAATAATTATTTTCGGAAATGAAAAGTAGGGCCTCACGTAATTCTAATACTTCTTGTGCTGTAAAACCGTTCTTGATTAGCATCGCGTTAGCCAGCA